CTCACCTGAGAATATGGTTACAGAGAGGAAGGGAGAGAGAGCAAAACATGGATATGAGAGAGAAACATCGATTAGTTGCTTTTGATATGTGCCCCGCCCAGGGATGGAACCCACAACCCAGATATGTGCCTTGACCTGGAATCAGCAACCCTTTGCTGCACAGGACAATGCTCACCCAGCTGAGCCACTCCAGCCAGGCTCATGAGTTATTTTTGTTTAAAGATATATACATGTAGCCCTGGCTGGTGTTGCTTAATGGTTAAAGCATTGGCCCATACACTGGAGGGTCTCGGGTTTGATTCCCAGTCAAGGGCATGTACTTGGGTTACAGGTTTGATCTCTGCCCTGGTCAGGGTACGTTCAGGAGACAACCAGTTGATGTGTCTCTCTCACATCAGTGTTTCTTTCTCTCTCTCTCTCTCTCGCTCTCGCTCTCGCTCTCGCTCTCGCTCTCTTACCTCTCCCTTCCCTTTCCCTTCCACTCTCTTTAAAAATCAATAGAAAAAATATCCTCAGGTAAGGATTAACAACAAAAAATATATATATGTATTTTCTAGCTTTGTCCACCGAAAAGACTTAGAAAACAATGGCCAACTCACTAGCAGTGAGCATCCTTAGTGCCCAGACTGTGATCTTGAGATACAGTTTCTGACTAAACTAAACCAAGGCTTTGTAGAAAAGTAGCTGATTCCAGTTCTCGGGCATAATGAACATAGAAACATCTTGTCTTTCAGGTAGTATGGACACTATCAAAGTTCCATCAAAAAGAACCTAGCCCTGGCTGGTTTGGCTCAGCAGTTAAGAGCGTCATCCTGCGGACCAGAGAGACGAGGGTTCGGTTTCTGCTAAGTGCACATACCTTGGTTGTACTTTGTCCCCGCCCCAGTTGGGGTCGTGTGGGTGGCAGCACTCGATGTGTCTCTCTCACATTGATGTTTCTCTCTCTCTTCCCCCTCTTCCTCCCACTCTATCTGAAGATAAATGCAAAAATGTCCTTGGGTGAGGATTTTAAAAAAAAAGAGCCTACTAAAAGAGGTTTCTACTGCCAAAGATAGGACAGTTTAAGCTTTAACAAAGGATGATAACTATAATGGATTAAAATGCATTGATCGTTTCTTAAATCCATGATTTCGTTATGGTACTTAAAGGGAAAACTGATTACCTTTGGAGGATGCCAGTGGGGACTGAATTATTCTTTTGAAAACTGTCAAGTAAATGAAAAGAAGCATTCATCCCACCTTTTTTATATAAAATATATTACTGTATAACAAAATAGTAAATTAGTAAAGTTTATTTTTATAGAACTTATTCTAACAAATCACTGATGTAGGAATGATAAAATGGGAATATCATTTCACAATCCTTAATATAAAGGGCAAGTACTCTCCTGAACAAAATCAGAGTTTTGTTAGTAAGAAAGAGGGGATAGACACTGGATGCATAACTAGCAATGTCCTTCACTGTTAACTTGTATAGAGCATTCAGTGTTTCATTACACAGCGATTGTGGTTGGGATGATTCAGAAAGCACATAATAAATAATCAGTAAATATTTGTTGAGTGAATGAATGAATTGGCTTTAAGAACCTATAGTACATAACACTTCTCTGAATCACTTCAGGTTTGTCACTGTTGCTGTTGCATTGTGATTTTTGAAGTTTATTTTTCCTTAAGTCTTGTCACTTCAAATTTTGTGTCTCTTAAACCCTTTTGCATCCTCTTTTATAGTTTCCTTTTGACAAAAATTTGGTAAATGATTATATAATTGAATGACTTTTTTACCAATTACAATTGTATGTAAAGGTTCATTTTTTATTATGGTTCTCCTCCTATTCTTTATACAGTTTTAGGGTCAAATTGATGATAGTAATTGTAGTGTGGAGTAGTAATTGTTGTCATGTTTTTCTCTTAAAAGAACTGAGCCAAACATAAAAATACCAAAGATTTAACATTTTTCAATTAAGAGAAATATGAGTTTGTGAAGGTCACTTAATCAAACTGCTTTATTTGTAGATGACGAAATGAGGATCAGAGAGTTTGTGACATGTCCAAAGATACACCACTAGCTGAATTAAGATTAGTGAACCTAGGAGTCTTGAATCTAATATTACTCATTTTTTTTTTTTTTTTGCCATGTTGTTACTCAAATCAAAATCAGTTTAAAGAACTTAAGAGAAATTCTCATTCACCACCCCAAATGAAAATATAGGTGTCATTGCCTGGCCAAAGTGGCTCAGTTGGTTGGACATCATCCCATTCACTAAAAGGTTGTGGGTTCAATTCCTGGCCAGGGCACATATCTGAGTTTCAGGTTTAATCCCTGGACAGGGAGCTCTAATGGAAGGCAACCAATAGACGTTTCTCTTTCTCCCTCTCTCCCTCCCCCCCTCCTTCCCCTCCCCCTTCCTGTCTCTAAGTAGGTCCTTGGGTGAGGATTAAAGAAAAGAAAAAGTATATATACGGGTGTGTGTGTCTGTATGTGTGTGTCATTTTTGGGTTTGGGGTGTTTCTATACATATATATGAACTTGACATTAACATTATGTAAATTTAAGGTGTACATCATGTTGCTTTGACACATATATATATTGTAAATATGGTTACCATTTTAATGGTATTTATCCTACTACATACATATAGTACAATATTGTCATAGTGTTATTTTACCTCAGGTCAGAGTCATAATGAAAACCTGAGTTGCTTTCGGAACCAAAATATATAGAAGAAATACTAATTTGTGTTCAGTAGCCTTGGCCCGTTTGGCTTAGCATTTAGAGTATCTGCAGGTTCCATCCGGGCCTTGGTTAGGGTTGTGCAGGAGGCAACTAATCGATGTGTCTCTCTCACATAGATGTTTCTTTCTCTCCCTCCCAGTCTCTCTAAAAAAATCAGTGGAAAAATATCCTCAGGTGGGGATTAACAACAACGTAAGCATTATGTTCAGTAAACTCTTAGTATTAGGTTAGAGTTACTTTAAATTTTTTTGTGTGTTTGTTTTTAGAGAGAGATGAAGGGAGAGAGATAGAAACATTTATGTCAGAGAGATACATCAGTCAGCTGCCTCCTTCACACTCCCCCCACTAGGGATCACGCCCACAACCTGGGCACATGTGCCCTGACCGGGAATCAAACCGGGACCTCTCAGTCCATGGGAGTTGCTCAATCCACTGAACCACACCGTCTGGGCAAGACTGGAGTTATTTTTAAAAAATGATAATCTGTATTTTAATTGTTAACCAAGATGTTCATATAATTATATTTGCTGATATGCTAACCATTCTTAATGAACAGGAATTTACTAAACTTACTTTATCAGTGGAAAGGGAAGACATACAAATTAGATAATTACTGTGATGTGTCTTTAATTTTATTAACGGCATATGCAAATTAAATTAAATCACAACATAAAGAGGAAGGAGTAATACTTATACTCTAATTTCAGGTTCTGAATGATTCTCAGTAGTTCTTGAATATTTTATTTGCAATATGGTTGAACATAAATGATGGTTTATAATAAAAATTCACTCTTGAAAGAAATAGTGAATTCTCCTTATATAAACTATGTTCTACTTCATCTTCTATCCTTTCCATTTTATCTTCATGAAATACATTATAACTCTGGTTTATCAATTTGGCAAGAATCTGTTCAAAATTTTTGTAAAACTTGCTATTTTGGTAAAACTTCATTTAGAATTGAGGTTTTTTGATTGGCAGGATAGGGTGAGGTGATGGAAATGTATGTAAAATTAGTACTTAAATCAATTCTGAAAATACTGTTAAGATTGAGCACAGACATGTAATGCAATCTTGTAATCTTATTTACAGATTATGCAATTTACTAAATATGGCTTTTGTTTATGTTTGCACTATTAGGTACTCAATAAAATTTGGCCATATGTAGCCAGTAAGGTAAAAAGAATTGACAGATAAATCTAATAGTTTATTTGTAAAATATTAACCCTGAAATGTTAATAATAGCATTTAATAAAGTATATTGTAATAGAATCACATTGGGGAGTATTAATTAAGTCTAATTTTTGGAAAAAGCATTTAATATCATAAGAAAGTACTAATGTTTCAATAAAAAAATGGCAACCTGATCACAAATTTGTGAAAATTATATAAGACTAGAAGGAAGTAATCTAAAATATTAGTAATGGTCATCTGTGTGTATTAGGATTATGGGCATTTTTCTCTATATTTTTTATTTTCTATACAGAATTTGTGTTACTTTTATAATCTGAATAAAACAAGAAACTAATATTTTCCCACTGCCATACTCCTGTTGCCTCAATGAAATGAAATGCTCAATGACTTGCAAAGAAGAACAGTTGTCAGTTTTTCAAGCAAATGCGGTCTTTTGGAAATGTTTCATATAGTATTTTTAGCTTCATATTTTGAGCCATATTTTGAGTTTGAATATATTATTTGAGCTATATAAATATTTGCATTCCATTGAGAACACTGAAACTAAAGTATAAAACAAACTCAAGTCTTTCTAAATAATCGTTTTTTAATATCCAGAGTTTGGTAATATTCTTCGCGGTCAGATTTTTATTTATTTATTTGTTGATTTGTTTATTTTGTTAATCCTCACCCAAGGATTTTTTAATTTTATTTTTTATTTTTTTAAGAGAGAGTAGAAAGGAGGGGAGGGAGGGAGGGAGAGAGAGAGAGAGAGCGCGCGCTAAACATCAATGTGAGAGATGTATCAATTGCCTCCGGCACGCGCCCCAACTGGGGCCAGTGATCAAAACTGCAACCTAGGTACCTGCCCTTGACCAGAAGTTGAACCCAATACCTTCCGCTGTGCGAGCTGATGCTCTAACCACTGTGCAAAATCAGCCAGGGCAGAGTTTATTTTTCATTGTTAAATGTCCAGTGACAAAAATCACTTCTTTTAAGAAAGAAACTTCAAATGGAAATGTATATTATGTTAAGCCTTTTATATTCTGTATATCCCAAAGTACTTAGAGTCATGTAAACTTTTTCTGATTTTTAGAGGCACAGAAAGAAACTGAAAAGAGGAAAAGTGAAGAGCAGCCAGTAGATTCAGAAAATCGTTCTATACCCAGTGCTCTGGAAAAAACGACCGTGAAAATAGAAAAAGAAGATGAAAAGGAGCTTGTGAAGCTGCCAGTGATAGTAAAGCTAGAAAAACCCTTGCTGGAAAGTGAGGAAAAGAAGATTATCAAAGAAGAAAGTGATTCCTTCAAGGAAAATGTAAAACCCATTAAAGTCGAAGTGAAGGAGTGCAGAGCAGACCCTAAAGATATCAAAGGAAGCATGGAGAAGCTAGAGGCTGAGAGGCTAGAGTTTGGTGGCAATGTTAAATCTCAAGAAATCACTGAGAAGTCTACTGAAGAAACCGAGAAACTTAAAAATGACCAGCAGGCCAAGATACCACTAAAAAAACGGGAAATTAAACTGAGTGATGATTTTGACAGTCCAATCAAAGGACCTTTGTGTAAATCAGTTACCCCAACAAAAGAGTTTTTGAAAGATGAAATAAAACAAGAGGAAGAGACTTGTAAAAGGATCTCTACAATCACTACATTGGGTCATGAAGGGAAACAGCTGGTAAATGGAGAAGTTGGTGATGAAAAGGTAACTCCAAATTTTAAGACAGAACAGATGGAGACAAAATTTTATGATACAAAGGACGATAGCTGTAGTCCCTCTAAGGATAAAAGTGTCATCGTGGAGGGAAATGGAGCAGAGTCCTTAAATTCTGTAATAACAAGTATAAAAATAGGTGATCTTGAGAAAGAAGTGGTCCCTTTAGGGAAAGATACAGAAAGTTCAATATCAGATGTAGAGACCCAGAATCAAAAAGAACAGATAGAGGAAACTGGTCCTCCAGAAATAGAAACCTCTCTCGAGGCTTCTGAGATGGCAAAGGATCTCTCTTTAAAAACTACTTTATCTACTGCTGAATCCCATACCATGAAAGTTGAAGAGAAGTCTCCCAAAAGTAAGAAGGATAAGCGCCCACCAGGCCTAGAATGTCTTGAAAAGTTAGAGAAGTCCAAAAAGACTTTTCTTGATAAGGACATGCAAAGATTGAGTCCAATACCAGAGGAGGTTCCAAAGAGTACTCTAGAATCAGTAAAGCAAGTCTCTCCCGAGGCAGCTGAAACTGCTTCATCGTCTAACATGGCTGGCCATTGTGAGAAACCAGCCTCAGAAAAAGAAATGATAGAGTGTCAGAGCACAAGTTCTGTTGAAGGTCAGTCCTTGGAAAAAACAGACCCAGAAGCTCTAAAAGAGGATTCTGAATCCATGAAGGTAGAAATGGATAACCCGGACAATGCCCAGACCTCTGGTGCAGAGGACTCTTCTGAGACAAAAGGCTCTATGCAAAAAAGCAAATTTAAATATAAATTGATTCCTGACGAAGAAACCACTGGCACAGAAAACACAGAGATAACCTCTGAAAGGCAAAAAGAGGGCATCAAATTAACAATTAGGATATCCAGCCGGAAGAAAAAGCCAGAGTCTCCTCAAATTCTAGAATCAGAAACCAAGCAAGACAAGTCAGAAAAGGAAGAAGAGAAAACAAACGTGGGTCGTACTTTAAGGAGGTCTCCAAGAATATCTAGACCCACAGCAAAAGTGGCTGAGATCAGAGATCAGAAAGCTGATAAAAAAAGAGGGGAAGGAGAAGATGAAGTGGAAGAGGAGTCAACAGCTTTGCAAAAAACAGACAAAAAGGAAAATTTGAAAAAAATGGAGAAAGATACAAATTCTAAAGTAAGCAAGGTAAAATTTCTCCTAATCTTTAATTTTTACTAGAGATATTTGACTGTAGGTGTTTGTAGCTTTTGTTTTTGGCTAAAACAAGTCATTCAAAGAAAAATTAAAGAAAAAATGTCTTTCTATATCTGAGATGCCTTTTCTCAGTAGTTACCCCAGACATTTTATTTTAGACTGTATGATCTCATCACCTTTCAAACTTTCTCTCTTTTATAGGCAGTAAAGGAATATATTCCTTTTGTAAACTAGTCAAATAATGCCTAACATATAGGATTGAAAAATGAAAATTTCCCATAAACACTATAAACAGTTTGTTTCCATTCCTTTTTCCACACATTCATGTGTGTGATCATAAATATTTATTCACTTAAAAATTAAATTGAATTAAATATATTCATTTTTCTCTGAGTTTTTCACTTATCAGTGTGTCTTCCAACACTTTCCATGTCAGTAAGATATAGTCTACCCTGTGGTTATTAATGGCCATATAAGTATTCCATAGTGTGGATATACCTCAGTTTATTTGACTACTCCCTTATTGATTGACATTTAGGTTGTTTCCAATTTTTCACTATTACAGGCAATGCTGCTTTGAAGATCATTTTGGACATGAGTGAGTATTTTTTTAGAATAGACTCCTAGAATTGGAATTGCTGGGTCAAGGGGCATGTGTATTTTAAGTGTTGATATCTATTGACACATTTCCAAAAATGGTCCAGTTATGTACCCGCTTATTAGATATATGAAAGTGTCTATGTTCCTCAATTTTAAATAGTCAAAGAAGCCAGATTTTTTTTCTGATGACCCTCTCATTTTAAGCAAAATCTGGTACAAGTCTTTGGCTAATCTATGGAAATTGTTATAATTAAAATTGCTACTTTTGTTTTTAATTTATTTAAGTGATCACATTGTTCATTGTAAGTAACCTTTTTTCCTGGAATACTGAAAAAAAATTTTTTTTAAATCCTCACCTGAGGATATATTTCCATTTATCTTCAGATGGAATGGGAGGGAGGGAGGGAGAGGGAGAGAAACATCAATATGAGGGAGACACATCGATTGATTGCCTCCTGCATGACCCCGACCAGGGTCGCAGACAAACCCCAGCCGAGGTACATGCCCTTGATCAGAATCAAACCCTTGACTCTGGTCCATAGGCGGACGCTCTAACTGCTGAGCCAAATTAGCCATGGTGGAATACTGAATTTTTAATTCTTTACTTTAAAAAATTTTCCCCTTCTGTTAGAATTATTTTGGTCTTTGATGGGGACTTACACTTAGAATTTTAAAACTGCCACCAGACAATAAAAAGCAGTTTACAACATTATAAACTTGCTCTCTGAATAATATATTTTTTAAGTTTGTCAGGATTTTTATATACGTTTCTGACCCATTAAAATTTTTTAAATTAATCTTTAATATGGGAATTTTAAATTTTGTATAACAAAATGTGAGCATATAGTCAGTGCTCTATTACAGAACCTTTAAAATATGCCCTGGCCGGTTTGGCTCAGTGGTTAGAGTGTTGGCCTACGGTCTGGAGAGACCCGGGTTCGGTTCCGGCTAAGGGCACGTACCTCGGTTGCAGTTTGTCCCTGGCCCTGATTGGGTCGTGTGAGTGACGACCACTTGATGTGTCCCTTTCACGTCGATGTTTCTCTCTCTCCCTCCCTCCCACTTTATTTGAACAAAATATCAAAAATGTCCTCGGGTGAGGATAAATAAATAAATAAATAAATAAAATGTGCATGGCCTTTGACCCAGAATTCTCTTCAAGGAATTTATCCTAACCACAGAGCTATGTGTAAAAGTTTATATTTACAAGGATACAATTGTTTATGAAAGTGAAAAAATGGGAAACTACCTAAATGTCTGTCTAATAGAATACTAGATAAATACAGCTCATGATGGCATATTATATACTCATTTACAGTGATGTTAGGAGAATATTTTATGACTAGGGGAAATATTTATAAGACCGTGTTTACTATACCCCCCAAAAGAGAAAACATGATGGAAATATACCAAGATTAAATAGTAGGTATATTTGTTGAAGCTACAATAATTTTTCTTTTCTTTATGTGGTGACTAAATATGCTACAAGGAACATATAATAGAAGTTTTTCTTTTTTACATCCTTATATCAAATTATCCCAACTTCTTATTTTATACAAGGTAAAAACCAAAGGCAAAGTTCGATGGACTGGTTCTCGAACACGTGGCAGGTGGAAATATTCCAGCAATGATGAAAGTGAAGGAACTGACAGTGAAAAATCATCTGCAGCTTCAGAAGAGGAGGAAGAAAAGGAGAGTGAAGAAGCCGTCCTAGCAGATGATGATGAACCATGCAAAAAATGTGGCCTTCCAAACCATCCTGAGCTAGTATGTAATATTCATCTTACTGGCATGCTGTGGTTTTCCAAAGAAGCCTAACTCTTTTGGGTTTGATCATGATTTGAATTTTTTAATGCTGCAGAGCATGTGTGTTTAAAATAACCTTTATTTCTGTTTCTTAAATAACCCAGTTTTGGGGCGGTCAGGATTCTGCTTTTCTGCTTTTATTCTGCCTGGCTATTGCTATTTCCTCTTAATAAGGATACACTCTGAATCTCTTCTCTCAAATCTATGGAATTATTCACATATTTCTGTTCTGTTCTTTTCTAAATTTTTCTTTTCTTTTAAGTTACTTTATAATGGTATTTCTGAAGTGCCAGCTTTAAATAAGTAAGGTCTGAAGGCCTTACTGCCTTTTGTAGGAACGTATAAGTCAAGTAGTGAACCTAGTATGCTTGAAACTTTAGGAAATGGGCAATTCTAAAGAAAATTTAAGAGGACAAATTGTAGACCAGATATATTCAGAAGAATAGTAACTGATTTACATGGGACTTTCTTACCCAGGAAGTAAGTTCTTCAAAGGTAACCTAAATCAGGAAAACCATATATATTTCTAACATATATATTTCTGTAGTTCATAAGTGCTTTCTAAAGAGCCTATTGAAGAAACACTCTTGTTATGCCCAATTCTATGCAACTATTCTGTTCTTTTGAATACCTTTGACTTTAAAGCAGGCTCCAGCTATTAAGTAGAAAGAAATGTAAGAAAGATGCTTCCACATGTGTAGAATCGTGTGGATCAGAAAAGTTTTGAGATCCTCTAAAGTTTGGAAAATTCATATGAAGTGGTTCTCCAAGGCTCTTTTTTCCTAGAAAGCAGTGTGGTGTGATGGGAAAAGCATGGACCAGACAGACTTTGCAGCAGATCCTGCTTCCACCACTTATCAGGTGCTCTCTTCTCTGTATCTTAATATCTTCATTGTAAAATGGGAATAATAATACCACCTACTTCTTCTGAGGGTTGCTTTTAATGTTATATCAAGTTACCTGGCACATCTATTATGTGCTAGGTTAGTTTTTTGTTGTTTACTTATTTTTTTCTTAATGTTAAACTCATAAATGGAAAATTAATCAGTGAAGTTTATAATATCTCATTAGTTTCAGAAGATTCAAGTAAAAGATATAATTTAGAACTAGATAATGACTTACTGCTGAGGAGAGTAGATACTGGAGTTATGCTGAGAAGACCCTTCTAAGCATTTTTATGGCCATCATGCTGTGAAAATTAGGTCAAGATTTGTGTATGGAGAAAGGCCAAAAGAAGATACGAGAATAGTGGTCTGCCCTCTAAATAAAGTGAAAATCAACACTGTACGCTTTCCCTACCATTTCCTTTTTTTTTTTTCTATCCTCACCCAAGGACATTTTTTTTTCCATTTTTTGTTCAGATAGAGTGGGAGGGAGAAAGAGGAAGAGAGAGAGAAACATCGACGTGAAAGGGACACATCGAGTGGCTGCCACCCGCACGACCAACCAGGGCCAGGGACAAACTGCAACCGAGGTACATGCCCTTAGCGGGAACCGAACCCGGCTCTCTCTGGACCACAGGCTGACGCTCTAACCGCTGAACCAAACCGGCCAGGGCCCCTGCCATTTCCTAGTAATCTTTTTAGTTTAAGAGAGTGCATTTTAACTGAGGCAGTCATAGATGTCAACGACAAATGGGTGTGAGAAAATGAGCGTAAGATGGGGTGAGCAGAAATGACATCGAGGAGATCAAGTTGCACTTTTCTTTGCACACACACAGGCTTTTTATTTAGTTATGTTAATAACTGCTCTAAAAACCCTGTTGCTTGTTACTGTACCAAAGAAAAATACCATTAGAAACTGAAAATCCTAAATGGTGGGTTTCTTATGCCATATGTTTAAAGATAATCCTCAAATCAAAATGTTGAGCAGCTATTATGTGTTAAGTGGTAAGGAAATGATTCTGGATTAGAAAGACATGGTCCTGCCCTGGCCGGTTTTGCTCAGCGGTTAGAGCTCCAGCCTGCGGTCCTGAGAGACCCGGGTTCGGTTCCCGCTAAGGGCACGTACCTTGGTTGCAGTTTGTCCCCGGCTCTGGTCAGTCGTGCGGGTGGCAGCCACTCGATGTGTCCCTTCGCATCGATGTTTCTCTCTCTCTCTCTCTGTTCCTCTCTCTCCCTCCCACTCTACCTGAACAAAAAATGGAAAAATGTCCTCGGGTGAGGATAAAAAAAAAAAAAATTTTTTTTAAAAAGAAAGACATGGTCCTTGTCCTCATTGAACTTATAGCAGAAAACAATAAATTCATAGATGAGTATAGAACTCTGGGATCTTCCAGATGCTTTAGTTAAAATAAATGGATCATTGCCTAGGACTTGGAAATCTTACATAGTAATATTTATTTTAATGGGATTTTGCCTTCATTGAGGAATAGAGATAACTATTGTTTTAAAGATAAATTGCTAAAAAATTTACTTTTGCTATTTGAAATTTGGATTTTGCTGTACTTTAGAAACAATGTGATAAATGGAATCAGGTGCCTAGGTTTATCTACATATGCCTATGTAATCAAATGATCTATCAGTCATGTAACTGAAGTATTGGATTGTGGGTGTTGGCAACAAACAGTCACGCATTGTACAAAGAAGGGGGAGGATACTTTGCACTTTTAAATCACTAGATGTGTGCACATCCTACCCTCCTCCTTCCACCCACCATGGTGAATGTTAGCAATTTAGAAATTACTTTATATTAGGTTTAAACAAGTGAATGAAGTGTAGATAATAGGAGCTAGCTCCCTTTCTCACTGTCAGAGAAAGAAGTTACAAATAAGCAAGGCTGATTTATTATAATAAATACTGTAGTGCTGGATTAGAGCTGGAGGTTTTTGTATGAACTCATATATACTTTAATGTAGATATATATGCACATGGGTTACTATACATGCATGTATTTCCTAGTTCTATCCTCTGAGACAATTTTAGAAGCCATGATACCCATTAGCAGTGAGCATTCAGCATCCAGATCTTGGTTTCTAAATACCATTTTCCATTAAAGGGAACCAGGGCTTCTGGGAGAGATTCCTGATTTCTAGGTTTGGTCAGAAAAAGTATAAGATATGTCCAGAGTATCCTGTAGTTCCAGGAAATAAGAAAGTGCTTTAAAAACAAAAAAAGGATGCAAGGAATTCTACAGACATAGCCAAACTGAAAGATCTCCCAGTGTGTCCATAGCTAGAACAATTTGAAGTTGACAAGTAATAACTTTTTATTATAACCCAAAGAATAAAATAAATATTCATTAGTTCATCCTGATATAAATAATTGAATAAATGAAAAAATGTGGGGTAAGGGACATATTTTCTGTACAGAAGAATTCCAAATAACAAATGTGGAAGGCATGCAGGAAATAGAGAATCACCATTAGAACTCCACAGTAATAATTATTGCAAGCAAGATCCACTGATAAGTGCTAAAACTAGTGGGTGAAACTTGAAACTAAAACGGGATATTTGCATAGATTCGGTGTATTTCCCCGATTGTTTATTACTGTGACAGTTTTACCTTGAATCTACAAAATCTTTGATACTCCTCCCTCCAAAGAGTGGAGCTTAATTTCCCTGTACTTGAGTGTGAGCTAGACTTACCATTTCTAATGAGAGTAGAGTATGGAAAGTGAAAATTAGTAACTTTGAAGTGATGGAAACCAACAGACACTACTGGAACCAGGTGATCAGGTTAATGCCATCAGTGATAAGTCATTTTAATATCATGTACCCCAGGTACAGCACAGCGTACAGGGCACTTCATCTCTGTGGGATTCTTCTCCAAAATCAATAACCTCAGTGTAATCAAGAGAAGCATCAGACAAACCCAAATTGAGGGGAGTCTACATAATATTTGACTAGTACTCTTTAAAACAATCAAAGTCATAGAAAACAAAGAAAGACCAAGAAAATGTTACAGATTAGAGGAGCATAGGAGACATGATTAAATGCATGGATTGGATCCTGGAATCAGAAAAAAAGATATTAGTGGGAAAGTGGTGAAATTGGAGTAAAGTCTGTTGTCGAGTTCATAGTACTGTACTAATGTTAATTTCCTAGTTTTGGTAAATGTGCCATGGTCACATAAGATGTTAACATTAGTGAAAGCTGAGTAAAGAGTTTTTGGGAACTCTGCACTATCTGTGTACCTCTTCTGCAAATCTAAAAAAATTTAAAATAATAAGTGTTGTGTTTTTTTTTAAGTCAGACATTCATGAATGTACCATTTTAAGTTTTAGAGACTTGGTCATCTTAAATCAAATAAAAAATATCAAAGTAAGACATTGTATTTGAACATGATCGATCTAAATATAGTTCCTATCCATTCTTACTGCAGTTTCTTCCATATTTGAATTTACATTATTAAAGGAACCATGAATGATTCTTACAGATTGGTAATTGAAATGCTATTTAAAGTGGAAATTATTTGTATTTTTAAAATCCTACGTGTGGTAGGGTAGTTTGTGATACTTGAACTTTATATAAAACTATGGTATAAAAAAGTATTGTTATATTCCTCATGGCACACTAGAAAAGGATAACAAGTTCAGAAAGGACTTGCTGTTTTTTCACTTAATTTTGTAGTTTAACATTTTCTTACCTTTTTATTTTTTAATTTAAAAAAAATGGCATGTTAAATCCCTCATTAACTGAGCTTTTTTTTTTTTTTTTTTGCTTTATGCAAAAAAAAGTCTATGAAATGTCTTTAACTTGAGTCATTGAATTTTAGTCATAGAGTTAGGTTGGTATTAATATCTGTTTTTTTTGTTTTGTTTTGTTTTGTTTTCAGATTCTTCTGTGCGACTCTTGTGACAGTGGCTACCACACAGCCTGCCTTCGCCCTCCTCTGATGATCATCCCAGATGGAGAATGGTTCTGCCCCCCTTGCCAACATGTATGACCCAGAACACCTCTGTTATTCCAGTCTGTGGTTTTATATTCAAATTAGCAATGCTTCTTGACAGTTACTAAACATTTGAAATCTTCAAAACTATTTGTAGCCCTGGCCGGTTTGGCTCAGCGGTTAGAGCGTCAGCCTGCGGTCTAGAGAGACCCAGGTCTGGTTCCCGCTAAGGGCATGTACTTTGGTTGCAGTTTGTCCCCGGCCCTGGTTGGTCGTGCGGGTGGCAGCCACTCGATGTGTCCCTTTCATGTCGATGTTTCGCTCGCTCGCTCTCTCTCTCCCTCTCCCTCCCTCCCACTCTATCTGAACAAAAAATGGAAAAATGTCCTCGGGTGAGGAAATAAATAAATAAATAAATAAATAAATAAATAAATAAAACAAAACTATTTGTAAATATGGCCTACCTCTTGTTTAAATTTCTGTGAAATTAGAGACTATTGAAAAAGGTACCCTTTACTGGTACTATCTCTTGGTCTTCCCTTAATATTTTTCAAAAGCAGTTCTCAGAGGACCTGTAATTTTTATAAAATTAGTCTTTTTGTTCCTTCTCATATGTGTTAAAAGCACAAAGAACCCCAAATTAAGATAATGTACAAGGCAAGACATAGTTTCTTCCTGTTATTTATCCCTTTGTATCATCCTCATTTTTATTTCTGCCTGTCTTCCTTTGCTCAGTAGTTTTATAAATTTTTTGTGAATTATGTATCATTATGACAGTACTATGAATAGGAATATGGATCCTATTTATCTCTTATGTTGAATCAGGTGACTTCTGTAAGTTGAAGAACAGGAGATTTTTGTGCCACTGTGCTCAAGGGGTCCTTCCTCTCTCAAGTCCAATCTCATTTTGGTTTAAAAATGATGACCTTTATTGTATTTCTCAGTGAAGTGCACTTCTGTGGCTTAGCATAGCTTTATCAGTTACATTCTTCAGCTATGTTTTGACCCAGTAACCATGTGGCCTGGTTTTGTAAAATTTTTCTTTCTTTTTTTGAAAACTAGTGATTGGCACCATTATATTTTATTGTGCATATAACCCTCTCCCTTAAACATGTCTTTGGATTTAAAAAAATGTTTAATGACTGTCATTACACACGTTGAACCAAATGCTATTTTACATATTGATTTCTGCCAGCAAGACAGGCACAGAATGTGTTTTCTGGCAAGGTTCTAAGTTTCTCTAATATGTGCTTTACTGTAACGATACTGTGCTCATCCTCAGTGCAATGAATGTTGAGTACCACTTTATTTAATTAAACATGAGCAACATTTCAGTGTTCACTCACCATGTGGCTCCTTATCAGCTCTCATAGCCCACTATCCATGAGTTATCATGCAAGTGACAGACGATTGTGAAACGGTGTTAAAATAATATTAATCTGTTTGGCTGTTTCAGAAACTACTGTGTGAGAAATTAGAGGAACAATTGCAGGATTTGGATGTTGCCTTAAAGAAGAAAGAGCGTGCTGAACGCAGGTATTGTGATATGTGTGCTAATATTTCACTTGGGAATTTGACAGCAGAATTGTCTTAAAATATAGATTGATATGTCTGTCTCAAGTAGGGATTGGCGAACTATGACCTGTGGGCCAGATATGGCCTGCTTCTTGTTTTTGTATTGTCCGCTCACTAAGGATGTTAAATGATTGAAAAAAGATCAAAGCAACAATCATATTTTATGATACCTGAAAATTATATATTCAGATTTCATTGTCCTTAAATAAAATTTCACTGGAGCACTGCTATGCTCGTGTGTTATATATATTGTCTGGCTGCTTTTGCACTTCAGCAGAAGAGTTTAGTAGTTGCAACAGAGACCTTATGGCCCACCAAGCCTAATTTAGTAGGTCCTTTTACGGGAAAGTTTGCCAACCCCTGATCTAAAATATTTATCTTAACCTTCTCTGGATAAATATTGGTGTCAGTATTGTGGAGGATATGTACCTAAGTATGTACAGTGAGTACAAGAAAATTGTAAGAACTAGTGTACAATTTAGTGTCCTGTCTTTGGGTGGGTAGAATTCACACAAGTGAAATAAAGATCATCTAAATCCTAAACTGTGTCCCACTGACTATAAAAAAGGCCTCTCTCTTTGATATACCACTGCACTGTGATCTAGAGCAGTTGAGAAGGCTTGTTGGAGGAGATAAAAGTGGAGTTGAGCCTAATCTTTAAAAGGGAGCTCAGGATCAAGACAGTGTGTTTATATTTTTATTTATTTGTACCTTCTTTGATTAATCTGTTGCTAAACATACATTTATACCTACTGTGTACCAGCCTGAAGAGAAAAGATGAGCAAGACAAAGCTCTTACTTACATGGGGCTCACTCTCTATCAAAATACAGACATATGAGCCAGTGATACAATTAAGAAGACAAATTGAGGTTTATTCAGAGCAATACAAGAATACTGTGAAGGGGATTTGAGTTCTAGGGGTTGGGCTTATCAGGGATGGCCTTGGAAGATAACTTGGGATTATATAGATAGATGGGCATGCAAAGAAAGGACATTTTAGGCAAGGAGCACAAATGTGATCAAAGACAAAATGTGAAAGTGAGAGTAGGAGAGTGGAAGGGATAAAGGTATAAAAGCAAATTGAGGCCAAATTGTGAACAGCTTTGCATACCTGGTTATGGAATTTGAATTATTTTCTCTAGGCAGTGGAGGACCCATCAAAGGAAGGATACACATAATCAGATTTTTATTTCAAGAAAAATACTCTGGTAACAGTAAGAAGAGGGAATTTGAGTTGAGGCTGTTGGCGGCAGAGTCTATGAGAGCCAGTGAGGCCTGAACTAGCGCACTTGTGATAATAAAGTGGAAACGATGAAGAGAATTTTTAGAGAATTAATCAAGACTTCATGCCCATTTATACAAAATATGAGATCATCTAAGCAATGTTTCCTGATTGGTCTTACGCCCTTCATTTGCAGCTACTTCAACTTTTTCTTGCTGTCATAGTTTTTTCCCTCCAGATTTAGCTTATAAAACAGTCAGGGCATTCCATAAGGTGAACCTTAAAAATGGGTTCAGCCTCGAAATCCTGTTTTTTCTTTTTTAGTCAGCTTGAACTCTCATGACGGATGGTACTTAGTTTAAAGGCAAAGTTAATTCCTAAAGTTGACAAGGCGATAATAGTGCTTAGTTGTAAATGGGTTGTCTAAATATCTTTGTATTGAGAAACTATAGTAGTCCTGTATAAAATTATTAGGGTTATTGTGATATGCAGCGTTGCTTCTGTTTTTATTTTGGCACTGGAAAAGATCTGCCTAAAGATGCTTCAAGTTAAATCATAATTGAAAAACAGATTGTCCCTGTGCCTTAGTCCTTATGTTCTGAAGCTGATCTGACTCAGCAGTGTTGATAGCTAATAGTCTTACTCTTTAAGAGTTTGGAAGAAAGTTTATTCTCTCTAAAAGGCAAGAATGGCAACCACTAACAATTTATCTACTATTTAAATTATATCTGCTTGTTATTTGGAGGCCTGTGATGATGCTATATTTTTATATGTGAAAAGGGTGGTGAAAATGTTTTGACTATTGCCTTACACACTATGGGCCATGCTACTGCAATTAAGAAATATTTTTAATTAAAAAAATTTTATGTTAAAATGTGCATTTGTTTATACTGTTGGTCTCCCATTTACTAGTTCATTCTCTTTTACTCTACCTGTACTTAAATGTCATTCTTTAAGTGACTTTAGGTCACACACTAAGTCCTATATGAAATTGGATCACAGAAAGGAGAGCTAAGTTACTGTTACAGGGAGACCAATCTGACACAAGGCCAGTTAACTGAATTGTTGCTATTTATTAATTCTCCCCAATAATCTGGCTAACAAAGCTTTCATAACTTATAGCTCCTATTATACATGTATATGTATGAATCTTAGGAGCTCTTTACATAGCAAAATATGTATGTTTCTAAAATAAATAATAAATTAACTATAAATTCCAGGTTGCCTCATCTGTTTTTGAAAGTGAGCATTTTATTCATCTTATTTTAATTATGAAATAATTTCTGCAGCACTCATCCTAGCAACATAGAGCCTTGCTTATTATAACTCTGTCATAGTATAGGAGCACATTTCCCCTATTTGTACATTTATTCAACATTTAACCAACATTTATTGAGCACCTACTTTATACCAGGCAGTGTAATGAACATGGAGTATACTATGTGGTCTCTACATAAAGTGTTCTATATAGTACGGTAGAAAAGATGGATGTGCCAGTGAGTGATTAGTGACTAGCCAGAAACTGTCTACAGAGATGGAGCTGTGATGCTCTGTGAAATCTGGTGGAGCTGTGATGCTCTGTGAAACCTGGTGTTTCAGAAGTCCATTCAACTGATTTGTAAACGTCCCTTTCAGAACTTGGTGCCAGAAATTATTTGGGAGTTCAAATAGTTCTGTACTTCCAGAGTACTATTAGTGCCTTGCGAGTAGAGAGTTGGATTTAATCAGGGTTGGAATTTTCCAGGTAATATAACAGAGGGAAGGAGAGAAAGAGACAAGGAATTGAAAGTATATACAAAGGAGTATTTATAATGATGGACCGTGGAGTCTAAGCCAGGTAAGGGGGAAAGTAAGGACACGAAGGGAGTGATGGACAGTGAAAAGAGGGTAGGGTCAATAGATAGAGATCCTACTGCAGTCAAGGAATTGTTGAAGTTGGTATACCAAAGGGAGTGAGCTGGAAAGTGAGCCAGAAGAAGTCAGAGAATAGGATCCCTGAAATGGAAATTTTAGAAGGGGTGTGGTTATAGGTAATGATACAGTTCGGGCCCAATATGATCATTGAGCAGGTGGTGAGATGGAGTGGTGGAAGATGTATCTTTCCGTAAGATTACTGAGCAAGAGAATCCTGTGATAAGAAATCATACCCACCTTTAAGATCCTACTTGAGTATTTAAAGTCTTCCCAAATTTCTCAACTCTTCAGACAAAATCTCTTTTTCATGTTTTCATTGTATAGTTGGTAATAATTGTGAGAGCATGAACCATGTCTTGTTTACCTTTAGATTTAAAGCCTGACACAAAACATGACCTAATATGACCTTTATTATTTTTTCAATTGAATTAAGGGGAGATATGGTCACATGAAAGAGATTTTGAGGTATAAAAGGTGAAACTGGTATCGCAGTAAACTTGGTTAGTGTAAGGACAGATGTGTCAAACATTTAATAACAGAGACTCAAGTTCTGACTTACCCATGAAGTCTTCCCTATTAATTTCAGCTAGTTCTGTTCTTGCCTTTCCTATTTCTGTTCCATTCACCATGCACTGGCATGTGTGTAAGAGCTCAGCTGTCCTTGCTGGATCAAGTTAACCTTGAGGGAAACAAGGAAAGTACCAGTTGTACATAGCAATTTGTTATGTAAAATTTAATGAATTAAAATCAACAAAACTTGTTTCTTTGAAATGAAATTATGAAGATGTCATTAGTGGGTTTTTTTGTGTGTGTTTTTTTTTTTTTTTTATCCTCACCGGAGGACAGATAGAGTGGGAGGGAAAGAGGGAGAGAGAGAAACATCGACGTGAAAGGGGCACATCGAGTGGCTGCCACCCACACAACCCAACCAGGGCCGGGGACAAACTGCAACCGAGGTACGTGCCCTTAGTGGGAACCGAACCTGGGTATCTCCAGACCACAGGCCAATGCTCAAACCGCTGAGCCAAACCGGCCAGGGCATCATTAGTGTTTTAAATCTACACGAAGATATCTTCACTGTAGCATCCTAGAGTACAGAGCCATGTGGCTGCATTGCTTTTTGTCTTTTCTATGAACAAGAAGTGAATGGTCTTAGTATTGTTCACTAGGAACTGGATATGGTTCTGTTATGTAGAATTATTTTTATAGTGATATTTATTATCATGACATTATAGTTTTGTATGTACCCATATAATACTACTAAAAACTTCCAGTATAACAAAGATCTAGTTTATTCAAAGTTGGCTTTCTGTCTAATCACTTGATCAGTGAGTCACAGCATGATTCTTTATGAAGTTTCCTTGTCTGTTTCAGTTACAGGTTTTATTTCACTGTTATAAATCACTTTTTAAAAAAATTATTTTTATTTATGGTTAACATCCAATATTATATTAGTTTTAGGTGTACACGATATTGATTCAACATTTGTATACCTTACAAAATGATCACCACAAAGTCTAAAATAAGTTTAATAACCATTAGTCACAATGTATAGTTATTATATTACTCTATTCCCTGTGCTGTACATTACATCCCCTGACTTGTTTTATAACTGAAAATTTGTACATCTTAATCCCCTTCCCCTTTTCCACCCAACCTCCTACCCCCTTCCCTCTGTATAAATCCCTTCTAAAACTACAATTTTCATACCTTTAGAAAGTTTTGTGCCTCCCATAGATACTGTAAGTTTTATAGATAATAGCTAACATGTTTGTAACCTAGCCTCTGCTGTTACCATAAAATTGTAATTTTAATATTGTCTTTGTTAGTAATGTTTTCATAATACTTTTATTTTTAGTAAATCTCATTTTGTTCGTATGCTTGTTTTTTACTTTTTAAGAAAAGAACGCTTGGTGTACGTGGGTATCAGTATTGAAAACATCATTCCTCCACAAGTAAGTTTCTGGTTTATAGTATTTTTAAAGAGGAGATTGACATAATTATTCTAAAATTTATCCCACTTTATGTATTATGAGTAGTTTTAAATATTATTATAAGTGAAAATTTAGGACCTTAAAGAAATCACCCATAATCCCTCATGATTAAAATTTGGTTGTTTTTTTTTTGATCCTCACCTGAGGACATTTTTCGATATTTTGTTCAGATAGAGTGGGAGGGAAAGAGAGAGAGAGAAACATCGACATGAAAGGGACACATCAAGTGGTTGCCACCCACACAACCCAACCAAGGTCAGAGAGAAACCGCAACCAAGGCGCATGCCCTTTAATCACTGAGCGGAAACCGAACCTGGGTCTCTCTGGACCGCAGGCCGATGCTCTAACTGCTGAGCCAGATCGGCCAGGGCCTTCATGATTAAAATTTTGTACATGCAGCCTGGCCAGTGTGGCTCTAGGATGGAGCGCGGTCCCATAGACTGAGAGGTCCTGGTTTGATTCTCGGTCAGGGCACACGTCCAGGTTGCAGGCTTGATCCCCAGTAGGGGGCGTGCAGGGGGCAGCCGATCATGTTTCTCTCTCACATCGATGTTTCTATCACTCTCTCTAAAAAATAAGAACGGGACGGGGTGGGGGGAGATGAGATAAACCAAAGAATTTATATGCATGTATGCGTAACCGATGGACATAGACAACAATACTTTTGGGAGAGAATGGGATAGAGAGGAGGGTGTCTGGGGGGGAGGAGAAACATCTGTAACAAAAATAAATAAATTAATTAAAAAATAAATAAAATGGGGGAAAAAATTAAAACATACTAAAAAGTTTTTTTTGTGCATGCAGCTAGCCCCAGAATGTAATATTATACCCAAACCAAATTCATAGTTCATCTCTGTGGAGTTTGTTGTTGTTTTTTTTTTCACCGTAAATTAGGTCATTTGTTTTTAGCTGCTTTTTTTTTTTATTTTTTTATTTTTTCTTTATTGATTTTAGAGAGAGAGGAAGGAAGAGGGAGAGAGAGAGAGAGAAACATCCATGGGAGAGAACATTAATTGGCTGCTTCCTGCATGCCCCCCACTGGGGATCAGGCCCGCAACCTGGACATGTGCCCTGACTGTGAATCAAACTGGCGACCTCTTGATGCATGGGTCCATGCTTTAATCACTGAGCCACACTGGCCGGGCTGTTTTTAGCTTCTTAAGCTCTTGTTTATGTAAAGTGTCTACAGACTAGTTCAGGAACACCAATCAGAAAGAATTTATGCACGCTATATTTATAGCAGCATTATTTGAAATAACTAAGAACTGGAAACAGCCCAAGTGCCCATCAGCAGATGAGTGAATAAAAAAGCGATGGTACGTTTACCAATGGAATACTGGACTATGCGACTGTAAAAATGAAGGAACTTTTACCCTTTGCGACAGCATGGAGGGACCTGGAGAGTATCATGCTAAGTGACATAAGCCAGTCAGAGAAAGACAAGTATTGCATGATCTCACATATAAGTGGAATCTAATGAACCCACAAGCAAAATAGAACCAGAAGCATAGATACATGGAACACACTGGGCAGTGCCCGAGGGGGGTGGGGGTGACTGGATAAAGATGGTGCAGGGATTAGCTAAAGATACGCATAGCCCACGGACACAGACAATATTTTGGTGAAGGCCAAGAGAGGGGAGAAGTGTGGGGGTGAGGATGGGCAAAGGGGGGAAAGAAAGGGAAACATCTGCAATAATGTCAACATTAAAATTTTTTAATTAAAAAATTAAAAGATGTAGAATTATTCTCCTGGGGTGGGGGGAGGGGAGAATCATTCTAAGAGATCTGGTTTTTAATTCTAGACTTTTGTGGTTATCAGACCTTTGATTTGTGTTCCTACAGTGTGGTTTCTTTGAAGGGATTTTATTGTTTTGGATTCATTAGCCTAATGTATAATTAAGAATGATATCTCATGAGTGAAAGTACATGTAACATGGTTTTTAAAATGAAGACATTTTCTTAATTCAATAGTTCCATTCAGATTTAACTAAATCACACGCTTAAATAACCTGTCTTGGTCAGTTATTTTTATTTAGCCTATGCCTCTTTTTTCTAAATCCATTATTTCATTTTTTCAGCTTATCTATTGAATATCTTATGTGCTAAATTTAATTATCTGTTAAAAAATGTATTGATGGCCTTGGCTGGTTTGGCTCAGTGGTTAGAGTTTTTGACCGCAGACCAAAGAGTCACAGGTTCGATTTCAGTCGAGGGCATGTGCCTCGGTTGCGGTTCAGTCCTCTGCCCTGTTTGGGGTCGTGTGGAAGGCAACCAGTTGGTGTGCCTCTCTCACATCAATGTTTCTTTCTCTTTCTCGCTCTCCTTCCCCCTCCCACTCTATCTGAAGATAAATGGGAAAATATCCTTGGGTGAGGATTTTTAAAAAAATTTGTATTGATGGGAAAGCATCATGATTGTTTTTAAATGTGATCATTATAAACTCATAAAAACATAAGAATTTTATTTTATTACTATTTTTTTTATCCTCACCCGAGGACATTTTTCCATTGTTTTTGTTCAGATAGAGTGGGAGAGAGAGAGAGACATCGATGTGAAAGGGTCACATCGAGTGGCTGCCACCCGCACAACCCAACCAGGGCCAGGGACAAATTGCAACCGAGGAAATGCCCTTAGCGGGAACCGAACCCGGGTCTCTCCAGAATGCAGGCCAACACTCGAACCGCTGAGCCAAACCAGCCAGGGCAGAAAACATAAGAATTGTAATACAGAAGTGTTTCTTTAGATCATCAGTTTTTGTGTGTGCATGTGAATGTTTTCGTTTTTTTTTTAATCCTCCCTCAAGGATATTTTTCCATTGACCTTCAGACAGATTGGGAGGGTGAGGGAGGGAGAGAGAGAGAAACAGAAACATCAATGTGACACATCAATTGGTTGCCTCCTGCATGAGCCCAACCAGGGTGCGGGGTCAAACAGCAACCAGGCACATGCCCTTGACCAGAATTGAACCCGTGACTCTTTGGCCGTGGGCCGATGTGCTAACCTCTGAGGCAAACCAGCCACGGCAATCATCAATATTTTTTTAAATCTATACATAGTGTTGCCATGTTTATACAGTTTTGGGGGGATCATCTTTTTAAAATCTTTCATGTATGCTGCCTAGAGGGACGTTAGAAACTATTAATTCCAAAGATCTTTATCCTGAGTAATAACATGTATTTATTTTTATATTTTAAAACCAGGAGCCAGATTTTTCTGAAGATCATGAAGAAAAGAAAAAAGATCCCAAAAAATCCAAAGCAAACTTGCTTGAAAGAAGATCAACAAGAACACGGAAATGTATAAGTTATAGGTATGAGATGAGGAAATAGTTATAATGAAAGAGTGTAAAGTGTTTTTAAAATTATACAATATGATCCAGAACTGTATGCTTTTCCCATTACAATGACCGTTAGTGATTGTATATATATTTCTTAACTCCTATTTTTAGCATCAGGTATGAGAGCAACCAGCATGATCTTTTCCAAATATAAATTTGTCCATGTCATTCTTTTCTACCTAACATACTTTGTCAGATTTCTGTAGCTTTTAGGATAAGTATCAATACCTTTAACAAGGCACATGGAGCATAGTCTGCCCTTTACTTAGCTTTTCAGCCCCACCTCCTCCACATCAGTCCTCTTTCACATACTATTTACTGTGCCTACAATTTCCCTTCTGTTTTTACTTTTAATATTCTCTTGATCAACTCCCTCTATTATATGCTCTCATAGCAACCAGTTCTCTTGACCCCACTTATCATAGTTGTAACAATTGTGATTTTAATTATTTGATTAAGATTTCTCTCCCTTGGCCCAGCTGCTGTTGCTCAGTGGTTGAGTGTCAACCGATACACCAAGAGGTCACCAGTTCGATTCCCGGTCAGGGCACATGCCCAGGTTGTGGGCCTGATCCCCAGTAGGGATAATGCAGGAGGCGGCCAGTTGATGTTCTCTCTCATCTATGTTTCTCTTTCTCTCTCCCTCTCCCTTTGACTCTCTCTAATATAAATAAAGGGAAAGAAAAAAAAAGATTTCTCTCCCTCACTAGACTTAGCATGAGGTAAGGACCATATATTTTATGCATCCTTCTGTCCTTTACAGTGAGCATAGGACTGGCAGATAGTAAGTGTACTATAAATGCCTATTGAAGGACTCAATAGCTGTAATCTGATTTGCAGTCTGCCACCAGAAAGGAAGAGAGGGAGATAGATTTTGATTGATATTTTTGTTTTCAGTCATGTTTTTAGTAGCTAAACCTATACTAAAACCTTATCTGCTGATTGTTTATTAGTCTAGTATTCTTTCCACTAAAGCTCCCAGTCTCACTCAAATAATAAATAAATTATATTTTAATTAATTTAGACCTAACTTGAATAACAAAGTGGATTTTATTGAACTTGGAGCTTGCTTGTTTATAAGCTTATACCAGTGATCATGGAAGGGTTGCTGTATACTGTTTGCTGCTGTTGTTATTGTCTAAACGTTATAAAGCGCAGTAGGACCAGTAAGAGGAAAATCTTCAGTATATAGTGGAGGAGATAGCAGAGTCTATCTTACTCTTAAAAAAAATTTTTTTTGAAAAATTAAAAATACCATAAGAATATTATAGCTAGTGAAGTCAAAGCCTACTCATGGACATGTGCAGGTGTAGACACTTCTGCTATAACAACATATGCATTCCTGAAAATCATGCTATGCAGAATCACACAATAAAAACCATAGGGATTATAGGAAGTATGGCCACAGACTCAAAAACTTTATGGGACACATTAAAAAAGATAGGAATCTAATAAAAACAGTAGTATCATTTGACACATGTTAAATGGTTAAGAAATCATATAAACACTACAATGCATGTGACATTGTATGTTGAAAAAAGCCCTGAAGTTTGTCTATGGAAGAGAAGAGGGTTGCAATTTGTAAATTATTGTGTGGTGGTAGATGATGGTTATTTGAAATCAGTCATGAAGTTCTAACACTGGATGCAGATGGCTGTAGCTTATAACACACATGATGAGCTGAGATAACTGGTTTGAGGCATATGTTTGGTGTATTTCTATACAGTTAGGTGCAGTTTTCTACATTAACCTCGTGTTTCTCATGAATGAAATTACTTACAAGCAATAATGAAATACATGTTATGCTTAAATTATTTTGTAATATATCAGTCACATTGTAGCAAATTTATATTTTCAAAACAAGCATTGTGTCAGAACTGTATTGTCTGTCAGTCCTGATGTCATTGTGGTTGTTAAACAGATTTGTTTCATTAGCATTTCATCTTGGATGTATACATCCAGAAGTATGATTTCAGGATCAGATGGTAGTTCTTTTTTTGAGGACTCTCCATGCTGTTTTCCGTGGCAGCTGCACCATTTTGCATTCACATCAGTATTGTGAAGGGTTTATATTTCACTCTTCATATTTAAACTCTAAATACATCTACAATTTACTTTTTACATGGGGTACAGTATGACTGTTGTGAGTTTAAAATGTAAAGCACTTAATAAAGTATCATTACAGAAAAAGGATTCCCAAGCAAGAATTTCATCCCTACTATCATTTAATAATCATTTATTAGATTTTTATTGCTCATAATCGAGAAGATAACATCAAAGTTTACTGGAGAGAACATTAGATTGGTGGTCTGAAGACAAAGATTGTATCCTCACCATACCACTTACTAGCCAGGTTATCTTTGAGTGGTCCATTCCCCTGGGTCTTGGTTGCCATGCCTGTGGATAATAAATTAACTCAGATAATCCCTTCAACTCTAAAATTATATAGCAGTAATATAGGAACCTTTGATTAACTATGTTTTTCAGCATAAAGTCTATTGTGTGATTCATTTATACCTACCTCATTCCCAAAAGGATTAAGGAAGACATATAATAGTGTAAGGAGCAACTTTTTTTTTTTTTTTAAATCCCCACCCAAGGATATTTCTTCCATTTATCTTCAGATTGAGTGGAAGGGGGAGAGAGAGAGAGAGAGAGAGAGAGAAACATCGATGTGAGAGAGACACATTGGTTAGTTGCCTCCCTCACGACCCTGACCAGGACCGGGGGCTGGACCGCAACCGAGGTACATGCACTTGACCGGAAGGGACGGAACCTGCAACTCTTTGGCCCGAGGGCCGACGCTCCAACTGCTGAGCCAATCCGGCCAGGGCTGCAAAGAGTAACTTCTTAAGCATATAACACCAAACAAAATTAATAATGGAAAGGATATTTGATTACATAAAAATTAAGAAAGACTTGGAAGCATTTACAAAAGAAAATGTTTGCAAAGAAATTTTGTAAAAGAGAATTCAAAAGTAATGGGTTATCAATTCTAAAAATATAGTGAGTATAGTTTTTTTTATGATGGAAATACAGTTTTTTAAAGATGGTGTCTGTTAAGGCTGTTTCATGTCTTCAGACATTAACATATCTGAAGTCAAGGATAAAGCCATTTTGTTAGGGAATTGGTTATTAAGGAAAATAAAAGTGTTATTTTGGAGGCTAGAACTAGACAGGGTAACTGTTCTTGTTTGTTTATTTTGGAGAGGGGCTAACTGGAGAGATGATTGGTACATATAATGCTAACAGGGTAAGTCAGTTTTTCTTTCTCAAAACTTAAAAATATTAAGCAAAAGTTAAAGGGAAAAATACCCTTTGTATAGAAATAATTGCAACATATTAGAAAGAGGTTAAAATCTTTAATACATAAAAAGCTTTTACAGCCATGGCCAGAGTCTTGCTCAGTTAGTTGGAGCATCATCCTGTACACCAAGAAGTTGTGGATTCAATTCATGGTCTGGACTCTTACCTAAGTTGTGGGTTCAGTCCCTGGTCCAGGCACGTATGGGAGGCAACCAGTCGATGTTACTTTCTCTGTCTCTCTCAAAAAAAAAAAATCCTTGGGTGATGATTTAAAAGAAACTCTTGCAAATCACTAAGAAAAAATGAACACTCTGACTGATAAAATGGGCCAAGGACACAAATCTATACTTGAAAAAGTAAAAGTAAAAATTACCAATAAACATAAAAATAATATTTGAGCCCTGGCCATTTTGGCTTAGCGGTTAGAGCGTCGGCCTGAGGACCAGAGAGTCCCAGGTTTGGTTCCCACTAAGGGCACGTACCTTGGTTGTGGTTCGTCCCTGGCCCTGGTTGGGGTCGTGTGGGTGGCAACCACTCAATGTGTCTCACATCAATGTTTCTCTCTCTCCCCTTCCCACTCTATCTGAAGATAAAAATGCAAAAAATGTCCTTGGGTGAGGATGGAAAAAAAAAAAGAAAAGAATATTTGGTCTTATTCAGTATTCAAATTAGAATTAAAAGAACAAAATAATTTTGTTTTTTCAAATCAGGAAAAAATTATATTATAAATTGCTACAAGTTTTGAAGAACAGTCTGTGTGCCCTTTAAGCCAACAACTGTATTTGTATCAAGAATACCAGGAACAGCTCAACCAGCATGGCTCAGTGGTTGAGCATCAACCCATGCACCAAGAGGTCGCTAGTTTGATTCCCAGTCAGGGCTCATGCCCAAGTTGTGGGCCTGATCCCCAGTGGGGGCATGCAGGAGGCAGCCAGTCAATGTTTTCTCTCATCGGTGCTTCTATCTCTCTCTCCTCGCTTCCTTCTCTCTCTCTAAAATAAAAAAAAAAAAAAGAATACCAGGAACAAACCTATAGTCCAACAAAATCTCATAGTGTAAACAGGGGTGTCTCAACAAAGAAAAAGACAAGTTATGATAACATACTGATGAAATTTTCAGAGTGTAGATGAAATTTAAATGAAGTAAATGAAGAGTAAGGCTCAAAGCTAAGCAGGGCTCTGTAATGGGGTCAATGTCAGATCTGAACTGCACAGTGCACACAGGGTCCTGTGTCCTTGCAAACAGTAAAATTAAAGTACATATGTGGCCCTGGCCAGTTTGGCTCAGCGGTTAGAGCGTCAGCCCGTGGACCAGAGAGTCCCAGGTTTCCTCAGTTGCAGTTTGTCCCTGGCGGCGGTTGGGGTTGTGTGGGTGACAACCAGTCGATGTGTCTCTCTCACATTGATGTTTCTCTCTCTCTCTCTAAAAAAAAAAAAGTAGGTGTGTGGGGTGTTGTGTCCAGTCCCTTATCCAAAGCTCTGCATCTGGGATGTAAATAAAGGCTGTTTTTTTGTATTAAAAGTGACTTCGATCCTCCAGGCAAGAGTGGGATATTTCATTCTTACTGATACAGTTTCATTTATCTGAAGGTTCTGATGGTCTCTGAGTTTAGAAAACAAAGTTTTTCAGTGAATAAGAAAGTAGCAGTCACACAAACAAATAGGTTGTTATGCCACATGGCAGCTGCACCATGTCCTTAGGAGAAATAGTGTTTTCTGTTAACTTTGCATCTGTCTTTATCTGTGTCTGTTATTCTAGCCTGATGAACGGTTGCACAGATTTTTTTATTTTCTCAGAATTTATCTTAAGGAAAAGCTAAGTTGCTGCTACAAGAATGTTTTTTATAGCATTGTTTATAATTGTGAAAAAATTGGAAGTAAACTATTTGAAATAAATTGTGAAATATTGTAAGATAATGCGCTGCATAGCCAATAAAAATTATGTTGTAGAAGAAGAGTTTTTAACCTAAAAGTTGTTAAATTATATATAAAATTTTTATGTTTCTGTTGGCAGATATATATAGTTGTATTGAGTTTCTAAACTCAATGAGGCAAAATATTTGGCTATTAGTCCTAACTCTGTTATTAATCCACTGTGACTTTAAGCCATTGCTGTCCAGTCGAATTTACGGTAGCTATGAACATGTTCTGTTCTTTGCTATTCAATATGGTAGCCAGTAGCCATCATATGTGGCTGTTTAGCACTTGAAAGAGGATAGTGAAGAACAGCGTTTTTTTTTTTTTTTTTTTTTCGTCTTTTGTTCAGATAGAGTGGAAGAGAGAGAGAGAAACATCGAAGTGAAAGGGACACATTGAGTGGTTGCCACCTGCACAGCCGACCAGGGCCGGGGACAAACTGCAACCGAGGTACATGCCCTTAGCGGGAACCGAACCCGGGTCTCTCAGGACCGCAGGCCGATGCTCTAACCGCTGAGCCAAACCGGCCAGGGCACATTTATCAATTTCTAAAATTCTGACCATCTGTATATGAATTTTAGTAATATTAATACAACCTTCAATAACAATAATAATATAATCCTCACATTTAGTATTATTTCTGGGCACTAATTTTGTTAACTTTGCCACGTGATTTGTATCTTTAGGGATTGGCAAAGGCCTATGGGCCAAATCCAGTTCACTGCCAGTTTTTATATAGCTCATGATGTAGGAGTGGTTTTTACATTTATAAAATCATGAAGAAAGAACTAAAAGAAGAAAATTCTATGAAAATTACAGGAAATTTAAGTCATAGTTTCCATAAATAGTTCTTTTGGAACACAGCCATATCCATTCACTCGTATTGTCTGTCGCTGTTTTTGTACTGCAAAGGCAGACTTGAATAGTTACAGCAGAGACTGGTCTGCAAGCCTAGAATATGTACTAACTTTTACAAAATATTTATGAAGCCTGGTATAGATGGTCTTCGAAAATAAAAACCAATTTATGTATACTGATTTGCAAAATCTAATTTTACAAATGAAATGGAGGCTAATATGTAGTCAGGAGGTGTAGTCCCAGTCACACAATCCCAGATCGGAAGAGAGCAGTTTCATATTCAGGCTTTTGTCGCTTTGGAGGCAACCTCCTGACCCACGTGCCAGGACAGGCTATAACATGATTGTTGTATATATTTTAGATTTGATGAGTTTGATGAAGCAATTGATGAAGCTATAGAAGATGATATCAAAGAGGCTGATGGAGGAGGTACGTGTTTATCATTCTCTTTTTTTCATATAACTTCAGCCAATAAAATAACTGAAATGTCCTTATTAGAGCAGTGAGCTTTTTTTTCCCCTCCCAGTATATATCACGATCACTACTGATGTTAACAGTCTGAGATTCAAAAGAATCTGTGGACACGGTGTCAGTATGTAGACTTGGATCTTACTAATTATTTTAAAAGAGTTTTGTTTTATTATCTGATGTAAAGTGTAAATGTTCTTCAGTAGATTAAAAATTTACTTCTGCTTCCAAATGGAAAACCCAGTGAAACTGTTGTTGTCTATTTTTAGATCACCTTTAAATAACCTTTTAAAAATCAGTTTATTGATTTCATAATCTTTAATATATGACATAATATAGAATAACTTGAAGGTTATTTTATTTAAGAGTTCCGTAGCAAATTACCAATGTTCCAGTGTGGAGCGTTGTGGTTTTCATCTAGTTACTGTGAAAACTCTGGGAGGAACTCATAGTAAGTAGGCTGTTTGCAGTGGAACTGAAGTATCTGTATTTTTCAGAGACTTGTGCCTTACTATATCTTTTCAGTCCTGCAAACACTGTTGTTGTTTTTAATGGTTTGGCCTCTTTCTAAATCCATGTCCAAAAGCCAGTTTTCAAGAAGAGATTCTTGAGTCACTGTTAATAGGTATGAGGTTTCTTTTTGGAGTGAGGAAAATGTTTTGGACTTGGTGATGATGTTGCACAAGTTTGTGACTATACTAAAAACCTCTGAATTGTACAGTTAAAAAGGGTAAATATTATGATATAGGAATTATATCAAAATTTAAGAAAAAGATCTCTACAAGGTGAACTTCTATTTAGTATAAATGAATGCCAACAGTCTTGATGAGCACTATGTTAGCTTCAATCGTGAGAATACTGCATAGTTATAGGAAGAAAATAAATCAAGTGAAGAGCTGCTAAGCACAAATAAGGACAGTCTCTAGATAGTAAAGGGAAGCATTTAATAAATGGACAGTTGTCCCTCTTCCTCTCTTCCTCTTACCCTCAACCCTCCACCTCTGAATTCAGGAGTTGGCCGAGGAAAAGATATCTCTACCATCACGGGTCACCGTGGGAAAGACATCTCTACTATTTTGGATGAAGAAAGAAAAGAAAATAAACGACCCCAGAGGGCTGCTGCTGCTCGACGGAAGAAACGCCGGCGATTAAATGATCTGGACAGTGACAGCAACCTGGATGAAGAAGAGAGTGAGGATGAATTCAAGATCAGTGATGGGTGCGTGGTCTGCCAGTTGACCCCAGTCCCTAGATACAGGCTTAAACGGTGCTAGCAGAGAAGCTGACCACACAGTGGTGGGGCTTTTGTTTCTTGTGCACATAGATAATCTTTTTTTCCTTTTAATTTTATTTTTTTTCTTTTATTGATTTTAAAGAGAGAGGAAGTGAAAGGGAGAGAGAGATAGAAACATCGATGAGAAAGAACATCCTTTGGCCACCTCCTGTATGCCCTGCACTGGGGATTGGGCCCACAACCTGGGCATATGTCCTGACCGGGAATTGAACCGGCAGTCTCTTGGTGCATGGGTCGATGCTCAACCACTGAAACACACCAGCTGGACTTTAGACAATCTCTTTTTATTTTCAGGATATTTAAAACAGTTTTCAGAATGTAGATCTTGGTTCTTTTTAGGTTAAAACAAAGTAGGTTTATGGTTGTTTATTTAATATTTAAAATTTTATTTCTATTTCATTACCTGCATTTGAGCATTCTTTTGTTATGGATGTCTGTGCCACCTTCTGCCAACATGTCCATGAAGTATTGCCAGTTAAATGTGAGACACAGACAAGTACAAGTAATTAGATACTATTCTCTGGTGACCCTTAGAGGTTTGGGTTGAGGTAAGTTATTCAGTGTGGAATATCAGGAAAGTCTTCCCCACGGAGCAGGTATAGATACAATAATGCAGAGTTCTTCTGTCAACTTTTTAGTGGAAGAAACAAACATATAAACCACACACACACACACACACAAACCTCATTTTGCACGATTGCTACTAAAATACAGGCAAGGAATAGTTAGGGTACAGAGGAAGAGGTAGATTAATCCAAGAGGTCAACATGGAAATAAAGCTTGATGAGATTGGAAGAATGAATAATTGGGCAGATGGATGAGTTTTGGATTAGAAGCAGGAAAGTCACATAAAATGCCATGGACTAGTTAGGAAACTCCTGTGTGTCAGCATAGCAAAAATATGGGAATGAAGCAGAGAGTGCCCTGCTGGAGATGTGGCCAAGAGATAAAAAGGAAACAGATGATGGAGTGTTTAGTTTATCATGCATAGGAATTTGGACTTTGTCCTGAAGATGATGAAAACCCACTGAAGGGTTTTAAACACCAGACTACTAATGAAGTTTACGTTTCAGAAAGATTCATTTGGAGGTATTCATTTGGAGGATATATTGAAGGGAAATGATCTAGAGATTACAGAGACTACTTGGAGAATTGCTGTAGTAGACTTTCAGGTGGGAGGTGACTTGAGATACTATCTTGAAGAGGTGGACTCAAGAGGAATTAGTAAATGATTAGATGTGAGGAATGAAAGGGGAGAAATTAGGATAAATAACAGATTTCTGGTTTGGATCACTGGATGGGTGGTGGTAGTAAATACCAGGCTAGGGAACAGAGGAGAGGTGCAGGTTAGGAAATTCTGAATTTAAGGTATATTTATGTACAAAAATCCACACCAATTCATCTTCATGACTCCTAAGAAAAGAATAGGTAGCAAATCATTTCTTCATTGTAGGGAAGGTGATACAATTACTCAAATGTTACATTAAACATTATTTAATGATTCACTGGAGTTGTTAGAACTTGATCTCAGAACTCTCATAAATGGGTTCACAGTTTTAAGTGTACCATTATAATTCATCTGGTTTCTCTTGGGCAGATCTCAAGATGAGTTTGTTGTATCTGATGAAAACCCAGATGAAAGTGAAGAAGACCCACCATCTAATGACGACAGTGACACTGATTTCTGTAGCCGAAGACTAAGGCGACATCCCTCCCGGCCAATGAGGCAAAGCAGGCGATTGCGGAGAAAAACCCCAAAGAAAAAGTATTCCGATGATGATGAAGAGGAAGAGTCTGAAGAAAATAGTAGAGACTCTGGTAAAAATAAGAAAATAAGGGACTTGAAGTTATTATTCATTTAAAAATTATTATGAATGCCCTGGCCGGTTTGGCTCAGCAGTTAGAGCGTCGACGCGCGGTCCAGAGAGACCCGGGTTCGGTTCCTGCTAAGGGCATGTACTTTGGTTGCAGTTTGTCCCCGGCCCTGGTTGGGTCATGTGGGTGGCAGCCACTCGATGTGTCCCTTTCATGTCGATGTTTCTCTCTCTCTCTCTCTCTCTCTCTCCCTCCCACTCTATCTGAATAAAACATGGAAAAATGTCCTCGGGTGAGGATTAAAAAAAAATTGTTATGAGTGAACTCTGCTCAGTAGATTTGTATTTTTAGAACCTAAGCTAACTACATTTCTATTTTGTGGGCTTCAATTTTGTATATGATTTCTCTTTCTTCCTTTTTTTAATAGAAAGTGATTTGAGCGATGACTTCAGTGATGATTATGTAGAAACTCGGCGAAGGCGGTCAAGGAGGAACCAGAAGAGACAAATTAACTACAAAGAAGATTCAGAGAGTGATGGTTCCCAGAAGAGTCTACGGCGTGGTAAAGAAATCAGACGAGTTCACAAACGCAGGCTTTCCAGCTCAGAGAGCGAAGGTAAGGAATAGATCTCCAACTTACAGAAATTTGGACAAGGCAGAAATAAAATTAACTTAGGATTGTGATTCTATACCATTCTAAGAAATTCAATACAACCAGTAATATCTTTGCGACAAAACCCATTATTTTATGCCTGATCATTATTTTTAATTTATTTTTATTTTTTTAATCCTCGCCCTAGCTGGTTTGGCTCAGTGGTTGGAGCATTGGCCTGCGGACCAGAGAGTCCCGGGTTCAGTTCCCACTAGGGGCATGTACCAAAAAAAAAAAAAAAAAAAGATTCATAATCCTCACTCAAGGATATTTTTCCATTGATTTTTCAGACTGAGTGGGTGGGAGGTAGAGAGAGAAAAACATCCACGTGAGACACACACATTGATTGGTTGCCTCTTGAATGACCCCAACCACGGCCAGGGATCAAACTGCAACCAAGGCACGTGCCCTTAACCAGAATCGATCCTGCAAGTCTTTAGTCCGTGGGCTGATGCTGTAACCGCTGAACGAAATGGCCAGGGCCTTTATTCATAATTTAAGTAAATGATACTTGATAAGATACTTTAAGGAAAAAATAATTCTATTGATTTTGGGAGAGGAAGGGAGGGAAGAGGAAGAAGAAGAGAGGGAGAGAGACATCCAGGTGAGAGCAATACATCGGTTGACTGCCTTCTGCACACCCCCTATCTGGGATTAAGCTGCAACCTGGGCATGTGCCCTGTCTGGGAATCGAACTGGCAACCCTTCAGTGCATGGTACCATGCCCAACCAACCAAGCCACACCAGCCAGGGCAAGCTACACATTTTTAAGGTCACCATTATAATAATTAAATTAGTCATGGAAACTAGAAGAGTCTCAGAAAATTGTGATCTAAGCAAAATTTTTTCTGCTTCCGTATTATTTATGGCCCTCATTTTGAAATAACCTCCTTTGGTTTGATGACCTGAATAGCTAAACAGTTCCAAACCAAGGTACTTACTATTTCTCTATACCTAGATGGTAAACTTCAGTTGGTAACTGTTTTATTTCTTTTTTTCCTTGTTTTAATTTTTTTTTCTTTATTGATTTTTTTTTTTTTTTTTTGAGGGAGAGAGGAAAGGAGAGGGAGAGAGAGATAAAAACATTGATGAACGAGAACATCAACTGGCCGCCTCCTGAACACCCCCTACTGAGGAATGGGCCCACAACCTGGGCATGTGCCCTGACTGGGAATTGAACTGGCGAACTCTTGGTACATGGGTCGACACTCAACCACTGAGCAACATTAGCCAGGCTGTTTTATTTCTTAATAGCTGTACCTGTGCCCCATACCAGAAGTTCAGGAAAAGCTCTAAAATTTGAATTTGTGAAATTCATTTAGTCTTTATTTTTTGGTAATCCTCACCCAAGGATCTGCTTATTGATTTGAGGGGGAGGAGAGGAGAGTGAGAGAGAGAGAGAAACATCTATGTGAGAAGCATCAATTGGTTGCCTCCTGTACAACACCCTAACCAGGGATCAAACCCACAACCTAGGTATGTGCCCTGACTGGGAATTGACCCCTAAACCTTTTTGGTGCACAGGACAATACTCCACCTGACTTAGCCACCTGGCCTGGCCAGGACTCCATTTAGTCTTTGGAGTTATTCCAGAATTCTTTTCAAGTTTATGTTAAATGATTTTAACCCTCATCTTCCCCTCTTTTTTTGTTTTTGTTTTTTTATCATCCTCACCCGAGGACATTTTTCAATTTTTTGTTCAGGTAGAGTGGGAGGGAGGGAGAGGAACAGAGAGAGAGAGAAATATCGATGGGAAAGGAACACATCAAGTGGTTGCCACCCGCACAACCAACCAGGGCTGGGGACAAACTGCAACTGAGGTACACGCCCTTAGCGGGAACTGAACCAGGTCTCTCCAGACCGCAGGCCAATGCTCTAACCGCTGAGCCAAGCCGGCCAGGGCTTCCCCTCTTTTTAAAAAATATATTAAATTAATCTATTTTGAAGATTATTTGCTTTTATATATCCTTGTCAATTAAGTTTGAGTCCATACGAGGAAGGAAAGGGGGGAAATACGTTTGAATAGGGAAGGCTAAAGAAGGAATGTGAACATCTGGTTGCGTGTGTGTGTTATCTTCTGTCATTAAAAACAAACATGAACTGCCCTGGCCGGTTTGGCTCAGCAGTTAGAGCGTTGGCCTGCGGTCTGGAGAGACCCGGGTTCGGTTCCCGCTAAGGGCACGTACTTCGGTTGCAGTTTGACCCCGGCCCTGGTTGGTCGTGCGGGTGGCAGCCACTCGATGTGTCCCTTCACGTCGATGTTTCTCACTCTCTCTCCCTTCCTCTCTCTCCCTCTCACTCTATCTGTGCAAAAAATGGAAAAATATCCTCAGGTGAGGATAAAAAACAAACAAACAAACAAACATGAACTCATTAATTCAACTATTAGAAACAAATACTTGTTGAACCATTCACTGTTCTAGGCACTGGGAATAGAAAAGTGAATAAAAGAGCCAAAAATGTGTAATTCTCTCATGTTAGTTTTAGTGGGAGGAGAAAGATAATAAGATAAATAAATACAATATATGATATATTAGGTAGAGATTAATGCTATAGAGAAAAATAAGAGAGAATGTTGAGAGAGTAGTTGGAATTTCAGATCGGGTACTACAGGAATATCTTTAAGAAGACAACATATGAGTAAAGATATGAAAGAAATGTTGGGTATATGTCATGCACTTATGTAATAAGAGTGATACAGGTAGATGAAAACACAAGGTGAAGTCTTAAAGGCAAGTTTGTGCCTGGCGTGTTCAAAGAATAGAAGGGAAGTCAGGTTGGAGGAGAATGAATGAAAGGAAGCATAGTATGAGATGAAATGAGGGCCAGATCTTATAGAGCAATAGTGAGCAAACTACAGCCCATCTGTTTGTGTAAATAAAAATTTTCTAAGTCAACTTATATTGGAACATAGCCATATCCATTTTTTTACGTACAGTCTGAACTGCTTTCCCACAAGGTTGAGTAGTTGTAATAGAGACTACCCTTTACAGAAATGTTTTGCCAACCCCTGAGAGTAACAGTGCTATCCAGCTAAACTTTCTGCCATGATGGAAATGTTCTGTATCTGTGCTGTTCAAAATAGTAGTCATTACTATTGTTTGACTGTAAAGCACTTGACATGTGGCTAGTGTAACAGAGGTTCTGAATTTTTAATTTTTTATCTAGTTTAAATTAGAATAGCCACAGAATTACAGGCTACCATATTGGATGGTGTAGTAGGCCATTGTATCTGTACTTTGGATTTTATTCAGTGTGATATGAAAAATAATTGGAGGATTTTGAGCAAAGGAGTGATATAATCTGATTTAGGCTTTTGTTTGCTTATACTAGCTGTGTTATGCATAAATTGAAGGGGACAAGGTTAGAATCTAGGAGACCAGGCTAGAGGCCATTCAAAATAGACTATGTGATAGATGATGGTGACTAAGACTAGGGCAGTAGCCGTAAAGGGATCAAAAAGTCAAATTATGGATATATTTTGAAGGTAGACCATAGGATTTACTGTTATGTTAGATGGTAGAAAGAAAGGAATCAAGGACAACTGAGAGATTAGAAAGAAGAGGGTTGCCAATAACTAAGATGGTGGAGACCAGAACATCACAAGTTTGAGGTGGGGGTTTAGGAACTCATATAACACATTAGGTTTGAGATGTTTGTTAGATATCCAAGCATAGATCTTGGGTAAGCAATTTAATACGTGAGTCTGGAATTTAAGGATTCCTTAAAACCAATGTGAGAATTATCAGCATGGAGGTATTATGCCAAGCCATGAGAGCTAGGTGAGATAACAGATGGGAGTATAAGCAAGAGAAGACATTTCAGGGTTAGCACGGACATTTAATATGGGATGCGAGTTAGCACAGTGTTTCAGATGTCCAGAGTTGGGCAAGATTTCTCCAAGAAATCTGATTCTGCTCTTTCCTAAAATCATAGGTACACCATGAATCATATTGGGCATTGTTATGGGTCTGAAAGGAGAGAAAAATCAAGTCAGTTATTGAAGGGAAATACTTGTGTACAGGCAAGTCTGAAAGCAGGACACACAGTGAATATGGGGAGGAAAAGGAGAATTACTTAAATTTTTTATTGTTAAATGTGCTGTTTATTCTAGAGAGCTATATGTCCAAGAACTCTGAAGATGAGGAGCTAGCTAAAGAATCAAAGCGGTCAGTTCGAAAGCGGGGTCGAAGCACAGATGAGTATTCAGAAGCAGATGAGGAGGAAGAGGAAGGCAAACCATCCCGAAAAAGGCTACACCGGATCGAGACAGATGAGGAGGAGAATTGTGACAATGTTCATGGAGATGCAGATCAGCCTGTCTGCGACAGCCAGCCCAGGGTCCTGCCCTCAGAACAGGAGAGCACCAAGAAGCCCTATCGGATAGACAGTGATGAGGAAGAGGACTTTGAAAATGTAGGCAAGGTGGGGAGCCCATTGGACTATAGCTTAGTGGACTTACCTTCCACCAATGGACAGAGTCCTGGCAAAGCCATTGAGAACTTGATGGGCAAGCCAGCTGAAAAGCCTCAGACCCCCAAGGACAATAGCACATCCAGTGCAAGCCTGGCCCCCAATGGGACAAGTGGAGGGCAGGAGGCAGGGGCACCAGAAGAAGACGAAGATGAGCTTTTGAGAGTGACTGACCTTGTTGATTATGTCTGTAACAGTGAACAGTTATAAGACTTTTTTTCCATTTTTGTGCTAATTTATTCCACGGTAGCTCTCACACCAGCGGGCCAGTTATTAAAAGCGGTTTTATTTTTCCTAGAAAACTCCACAGCAGAATGACTTTTTAGAAGAAGAATTTCAACAAACCCTGAAGTCTTTCTGTGAAGTGACCAGTTTTGAACTTTGAAGATAAATAATTGCTGTAAATTCCTTTTGATTTTCTTTTTCCAAGTTCATGGTCCTTGGTAATTTCATTCATGGAAAAAAAAAATCTTATTATAATAACAACAAAGATTTGTATATTTTTGACTTTATATTTCCTGAGCTCTCCTGACTTTGTGAAAAAGGGTGGATAAAAATGCATTCCGAATCTGCAAGGGCCCAAAACAGAATTAGGGGTGGGAGAAAGCACTTGTGCTTTAGCTTTTTCATATTAAATATATATTTAAAAATTCATGGCATAGATGATGATTAACACACTGTTTAAAAGTTCAAGTCTGTATTGTTGCAGTTTGAGAATTGTAGATAACATCATACATAAGTCATTTAGTACAGCATTCATGAGATCAACTTGTTTACTATTGGAGATAACCACACTTAAAGAAGAGACCGAGACAGTACCATCGTTTAAAAAAACTCTTAAGTTTGTTATAGCGGAGTTTCTTGTTTTAAAAAAATCATCTGAAAAGTATTTGTACAGTAAAATGTATAATGAAGCTTTGACAACCAGATTGTGCTAGCAACAAATTTTTTTAAACAGCTTTATGCAGTGATGATGAGGTGGCCTCTAATGTACTATCATGGAGAGTTATTATTGAAATGAGTGTGGTCTTCTTTAAGGCCCAGGTGGACTGTAAACTGCAAATAATGTAATTCTTGTCTTCTGGCCACTTATTTAAATATGTGAAATACCATTTTGAAACAAATACATCTATACATAACATACATGAAGAGATGCTAAGCTAACAGTGGTATTTTATTTAGCACATTTGAAGAAGGGGAAAGGATTTTCAGGTGAATTTTAACTGGTCTATTCTTGCCCTTAGTATCTACTTCAAATTGAAGTCTACAAACAAAGCAGTTCCTTTGGGAGATTTTTAGTTTGAGTTTTAGCATGTGTGTGTGTGTGAGAGAGTGTGTGTGGGTGTGTGTATATATGTGTGTGTTGGAATTTCTTATCTGCCTGAATATATTAGCAGGGTTTGAATGTAGTTTTGGCCTTTGGCCATTAGACTTCTATTAAAATTCATTAACAGTCACATGACCAACATAGAGTTGATTGAGAACCGCCAATGTACTTAATAGGCATGGTATCCATTGCAAATATCTCAACACTTAAAAAACAAACAAGCAAACAAAAAAACCACATTAAGCCCTTTGTTTCAAGAAAAGGGGTTTGTAACTAAATATCTAACATGTAATTGACACTAAAATATGAGCTTTGTCTTAGTTTCTGTTACAGCTGTAAAATTTCAGGCAGAGCCATAAATAACATTGTACAAAGTGTAGCACTTGTGATTAAACCTTGCCTGTCAAATTCTGAAACCTTCAGCCATTACTTACTTCTGTGAATACTTTTGCCCTGGGATTTGGGTTTTTCTGTTCCAGTGTTGTGTCTGTTGCCGGCAATGGACACACCACATCTGCTGCTGGCCCAAGGAACTTCATTAATTTTTCTTTCCAAATTAAGCATTATATGTGCTAGTCAGTGTATAGTAAAGCACTTCTCTTTTTTATTATTAAAAAGCTGGCATTAGATTTGCATTATAAATACCTCTCTAGAAACTTTATACTCCTTTTCCTTCCTCAACAGGTGTTGCCCTTAAATCTTATCTTTTTGACCTTGAAGTTTATAGCTGTTGTTTTTCAGTTATTGGCTCTTTTGTTTGTTTTGTTTCACTTTAGTTCTGTAGTATCTGCCCATTAATATTTTTGCTTTGATTCTAGCAATGTATATGTATCTGTATAAAAAATAAAATAATGAAAGCAGCCTAAAAATAGGGTGCACAAATAGCATGTGGTTCCAAGTAAGTTGTGATTTTTATTTTGAGACAAAATAAAAATGGAAGGGAGGGAAGGGCTTACTTACATTCACAGACAGTAGAGCAGAGGGCTAAGTAAGGAGCCACATTCATTTACAAGCCTCCTTTCTAGCTAGGTTTGTTTCATTTATTTTAAAGTCTGTTAGGAATGTTAGCCTTTTCAAACTAAACCAGTCAGGCAGTGGAAGGATTCCTACTAGGGCAAGGTAAGTGGTTAGAATGTGCCGGTGGCCTGTCCTGCTCCCAGTCTCCCTCCTCTTTTAGTTCTGCAGCTGGTAAAGCCACTGCTGTGTGGAAACTCCATGTACCCTGTCTCTACCTCTGGACACACCAGCTCCTGCTTCCACCTATTCCATTCAGTTAAGCAAGTGGTAAGAAGTATTAAATGGGTAGATTATTTCTTTTACAGGTTGCCTAATGTGAAATAAGGAATTCTTTTTACTCTTCTGCTACAGAGAGGAAAAGGTAATTTTTATCATTGTGAAGACAGAGTATTCCATTCAGCAAATGTCCCATGGATATGGGTTTCGATACCACTTTTGCTGCCTGTTGTTTATCAAACTTGAATTGTTTGTGAAGTTGATAGTGCGTGTATTCCTTCTAATCTTACATTCTGATTAAACCAATTAACTGTTTCATCTACAGAGTGTAATCCTAGCAGCTGATACTTACAAACTATTATTATGCACATAGATTCATTATGGGTGATTAAATGTTCAATAGTTCAAAAACAACTCTGCTACTTGGTGTTTAGATTCAGTCCCTGAAAGGGACTGTTCACTGAAATATTAACTCTGAACTCTGAAGAACTTTTTTTAAAAATTAGGAAAAAGTAAACATTTTACATCCAAAGGCATAATTCTGTCATTAGGAACCGGACAGTGCATAGGAAAGCAGCAGTTCATCTAGAGTTTAGAGCATCTTGAGTCCTTATTAGACTCAGTTGAGTCCAATTAGAACCATGGATTTAGGTTCACAAAGCTGCTATAATATAAGAGCCCTTCAATACACCCTCCCCCCCCTTTGAAATATAATTTGGATTCCCGAAAACTCCACAGTGTAGAGCAAATGTCTTAGGGGAAATGTAGTTTAGTACTCAGACTATTTAGTTTGCAATTTCTCTGTAAAGATTTGAAAATGAGTCAAATTGTCACAAAGTAGAGGCTTCGAATTAAATTATTTGAAAACACTCAGACTGAAAACACATTTTGGTTTTGTAGCCTTGTGCTCAAGAAATAATGTTCAGTATAAAACATTTTCCATTGTTGGTACATTACTGGAGAATGATGGCAGAGTTTCAATATACCTGATACATTGAGGTTGGGTTTCCTTGACATCTTTTCGCATGTGGTCAAGGTTGCAAATTCAGAGAATAGAGAGGAGTTTCATGTGGAATAAATTCATGTCTACTGATAATCTTTTTATAAGTGTGACCTACCAAAGAACCAAGTACTTCAAATGCTGAGGAAGTTGTTGGGAAAAGATTTTTAAACAAATTAATTTGTAAAGGATATTATAAACTCCAGTTCTCATTTTTCAGTTGATAGGACCTATCTCATAATACGCGTTTGAGCAAAGTACATAAGAAAAATGTAGAAGTTTACTTGTTTAGAGGTAAAATAGGAAGATGTTAACTATTTTAAATGGGATTAATGGAATTTCCTTTGTCACAAGGAATGCCTTTTTAGCTTATGTTTGTGGGGCTGAGAGGTGTTCACCATTCACTAGTTTGTACTACCATACAACTGAAAGTTTAATACACAGAAGTTGTGAACTCTGCCTTTCACCAACACAGTGGAACAGGCCCATGGCTCATGGTGTTGCCTCAGCTATACATTTTCTTTTATGGAATGAATATACATATGTGTGTATACATATATATGTATGTGTATACATTTTTATCCCAACATCTAATTTGTGTGTGTGTGTGTACATTAACATAAAACAAATGAATCATTGTAATTGATATGACATTATGAATATCATTTAATTACAGAAAGTTTAGAGAAAATTAGTGAAGGTCTTCTTCTTGGTTTCACATTCTAAAAATATATTCCTGGTTCTCCCAAGAAGTGCCAAAACTGCAGATCTGCTGTGATCTACCTGGTCCTCTGCTTAATACCTGTTAATTAAACTTAGAATAAAATCCATTTCTATTTCATCCACTATTCCCTACCACTATCCCAGTGTGTACCTGTAAAACTACCTTGGAAGTGGCAAGCTGACTGCTGATTCTCATCATTGTTTTTATACCAATCCTGAAAGACAAAGCCTTTTGCTATCTATTTAAACTGGGTTATTGTGTTAAGTGTATTCTTAGTTTTCAGAATATTTCACTCCAACTTAAATTATCATTTGACATTTTTTGAGTGCCAAGAATTGCTAAGTAACTAGGTAACATAGAGTGAAGATAGGGTTATTGCCCAGCAAGCAAGCAGTTGTTAAAAGCCAACATGTAGTGTGCTTGGTATGTAACCACTTTAGAATGTACACATACTTTATTCATATAAATCCTCTCAGAAATATATTAGAATTATTGGATTTTTCTCCTCATTTTGGTCATGTAAACTCTTTGTTTGCATTTTTTATTTATACCATCTTGCTCTGGGAAATGCTGCAGACCCAATTCTGGCACATTGTAGTCAGTGAAGATGCTATTTTTATTTTAATAACTTTAAGATGTCTATTCTGTGCATAAGTTATATGAGAGGGCATAACAAATTATTAGATGTGTATAGATTTCTTAATTAAGCTCTTTAGACATTTTGAATAAGAAGAAACATTTTTAAAGGAACTTCATTTGTGTTTTTTGCCAAACCGGTACAAGCTAGAAAATGCACTAAGGACTGAGTGACCCGCCTTGTTCATTTTGCCACTGGATAATGTAAGTTAAGAATGGAATTGTTAACCCTAACTATATGTTTTCTTAATCATGAGATTCTAAAGAAATCTAATTTAAGTGTTTGGGGTTTTGTTTGAGCTGTATTTATTGAGTTCTGGTCATAGACCAGGAGCCGCATGTCATGCTTATGGATAGCCAGAACACAGTCATTGGGAAACGTAATGGCTCAAGACCTTCTGAATCGTTTAACTTATTTTGTATGTTGCAAAAAAGAAAAAAGAAAAAAAAAGTTTATTTTGCTTGAGAGACATTTTTTATAACTGTACAGCTTTTAAGGGATGAGAAGTGGAAAAATACCCTAAAATAGGATGTAGATTTTTACAACTGTGTTTATGCTAGAACATCTACAGGTGCATAATGTAATTAAACCTAAAGTTGTTAAAAAAAGAAAATTTGTGCCATGGTCTTTTTCATTCTCCTGCCCTTTAGCAGAGTTGGTGCCTATCAATACTGCTATATGGACAAGTTTTGAAATTAGGCAAATAATCCTTGTCTCCAAAGCTTTAAGATCATTGCATGAAAATTATATACACACTTAGACACAAATAAACACACAAATCTAGTTTATGTTCATGTATATGGACTTTTCTACTTTGGAACAGCTATAATAGCCTAAATTTTGGCAGTAAAGAGCATATTCTTAACAGTATGTGATTTTTGTGATGCCTAACTAGGTATTTCTCAATATTGGTCTGGTGTTTTGTTCTTTTATCAAAGTAGCTTTTTGATAATGGTATCTGAATTGTAGCTTGCCCAAACCCGCTAGGAGGTTTTGTATACACCCTGAAAGGGAGTATCCTGTACTGGGGTTGGGAGTGGGTGGGACCGAGTTTGGTTTCTTGTAAGTCTGTAAAAGAAGGAAAAACTTCAACTGCTTGATTTGGTTCTTGTTATTCAGAGGACTCAATTCCACAGGAATATTTGCTGGAAGTAAGGCAGGAAAGGATATTAGCTTCAAATTCCAATTCCCTCATTGGATAAAAAATAATTTGACGGCTTGTAGAGCTGCCAATTCTATCAGTCTTAATGGCACATTTTACCAGAAGTTATATTAAGACACCTTTTGTTTAAATGCCAGTACTTTTTGCCATCTGATAATTTTACCATTCAAATTTCTCATCTTTGTAGCACAAGTGTATTCTTATAAAGCATTAAATTTATCAACATGTGTCATAATTTCTACCCAAGCTACCTTCATTGTCAGTTAATGTGGGATGTCAGTTTCTCGGCTATCCTCATCTGATCAGAGGTGAAACCTGGGTATCGAATTTCCAGGTGAAGAATACAAATTCCAGATAAGAATTTGTAATTGGTACATATTAGATTTTCACTTTGATTTTAAAATAATAGCTGGAATTCAGGGAGTGTTTGATCAGAATGCCTCTTGGATTCTCAGACATGCTTATATAAAATGCTTCATTTTCCTATGCATAAAACAAATTATTCCTGGAATAGGTTCTCAGAATGCTTTATTTTGTTTCTAGGAGATGAGAGCTAAAGCAGAAGCTCCAAGATTAACATAAAACTGTTGAGGTAGACAGGAATGTGCTATTAGTCAAATAGAGGAAGCTGGAGTGCTCTCTACCACATATATCGTACTTGCATGTGTGTGGGGGGTGGGAGGGAAAGAGATTTGAAAACTGGAAATGTGATTCCAATAATGCACAAAGTAAATTTTGTGCATAGGAAATATGGGAATTCCTGGTAGCTTAATGCTTTGGGGGCTAACTGCAGTGTATGAACACCTAGTGTGTTAGAATTGCAGTGCATAGTTGTTTAAATATAATCCTTGTAAGTGACAACCAAAATATGTTGTGGCTGGTGCCAATATTTTTGTTAATGAAATGTTCAATGTCTCACTACAGTCTGATCAGAAATCTTGGTGTTAT